GGGGTAAAAGCTGCCAGTCGCATTTTCTCTTTGCCAATTGCACTGTTTGTTTCTTATGCAGAACAAGTATAGCATTAGTACTCTCTGGCAAGGACAAGGAGTATACTTTGAAATAATGACATTCCTCTACTCTGGCCTGACAGCCATTTTGTTCTCAATAAACTTAGCTAGGTAATTCTTTGCAGCAGAAGGCAAATCAAAGCAGAAGCCATTATTGAAAGTTGAGTGTGCCCTTTTATCTGGGCAATTGGGAACATTTGTTATTATAAGCGCCTAACTCTACATTGCACACTGAATAATGGAAGGGTAGGAGAAAAAGAGACCCAAGAGAAGAGAAAAAGTGTGAAGAAACAAGCCAGAATACAGAGAGGAAAACCATATAAACTCCGGTAACAAAAACAAAAATTTTAAAAAAGAAAACTAACATTAGTGATTCTCTAAAGAGATCTCCTAGAAATCCTTGGGACTAGAATTGTTAATAATTGTGTGGATGTCTACAATAGGATTCCATCTATTCATCTTCTGATGTGAGTTAATACTAAATTTCTGATGGTTGTAGTGTCTTACTGAAAACAACACTATTGGTCCTCTGGTTATTTTTTTTTTTTTTTTTGCAACTGCAAAGTAATAGGATATTTTTGTGGAGTAAGGGATTTCTTGTCTTATGGAAGTACTTTACATTTACCTAAAGAATTTGGTTACTCATGAGGCTGAGGCAGGAGGATCACTTTGAGCCCAAGAGTTCTCAAACAGAAATTGGGAGCCATTGACAAAATGAATTGAAAATGAGTTTGTAATGTAATATCACGTAACATAAATGCTGAGAACTAAGCAAAGAGTGATCATTTACTATAAATCTATTCGTATATCATTTCATAAAATCTTAAGTGAATGCATATTATTCTCAAACAGCTCCAGAAAAATAATACACTACTATTTATCACGAAAGGAGAAATACATAGAGCCATCTCACTTTTATTTTCAAGGTGGAAAGCTGCAGAGTATGGTCATATTAAGACGGGGGGGTGAAATTTACTTATTTGTTTTCCAAAACATTTTGTTTTTTACCACATGCTTTAGGGAAATCACTGACATAAGTCAAATACTTCTCTCTGTTGCTTTATCCCCTTTACATTAGAATTCGGTTTTAAATTTCAGGACTATCTCTTTGTATAAATCAAAACCTGTCATTATTTTGCAGGCAGAAACAGTCCTGCAAAAATGCTAGAGGCCTTCTCCCACCTCACAAGGGTCCCTGATCTCAGACTTTGTAAACTAGGAATAATGGTTGGAAAAGATCATCTCCAACCCATGTAGAGCAGACTTCTATCACTACCCTCAGCCACTGAGCTGCTCTCAACTAAAGGCTTGGCTCTCAGTCACTGCCTGGGGGCAGTAAGGTGCGGAAAAAGGACCTCTCTTGCCCATGGAACTGGCTCGCTTTATTCTTGGATGTTTTCAATTCTCTTGACCCTCAGAAAAATTGCTCAGCCCAAATTAGAAAGAAATCTGCTACAAAGTAAGCCACCAACTTTGTTTCTCCACTCAGTCGTCCAATTTTTTTCTCTCTTAAATGCAGTGGTCCTCATCATTTTTTTTTTCTGCTTCCACTAGTTCCAGGCACAAAACTGTGCCGTCATTACCCTCTCCCTACAAGAGGATTCTGACCTTCCTCCTTGAAGAAGCATCCCTGCACTCCGTCCTCTTCCACGGACTTTCACAACACCACCAGACTCCTGAATGAAGACCCAGATGAACTGTCTGGGGTCAAATAGGTTTGTGAGAAAGAAGGAAAAGGAAATTCTTGAGAAATGATTGGGTTGGGGTTAGGATGGGATAAAAGACTGAAGCGATCAGGTATCTTGGGTCTCATATTTTAGAACTACTGTGCTGAAGACTTCTGAGAGATTCAGATTCTTTGGGTATAAAATAGAGGAAACAGAGTCATTTCACAGGTGATTAAGAGAAAATAATTAAAATGGACACAATTTTTAGGGCATTATAAACCATGAGTTTTGTTCTTTTTTAAGTTTTTCTTACCCTCCTTGCTAACAAATTAGTCAGTCAAGCAACCTAACCTTCTCCAAAGATTTGTTATCCCAAGTTGCCTGCCTGGAGTCATCAGATTTCAGAAAAACTCAATTTGGGAAAAAAAATGTAGACTCTTGTCTCAGTGTAGAGCTCAGTAGTAGAGTACATGCTTAGCATGCACAAGGCCTTGGGTTCAATGTCCAGTAACACAAAAAAGTAGGTACATTAAAGTAAGCAGAGGGACCTAAATTCCAATTTTAAATTAATTCAATATGCATTTCCAGGGAAGAATTAGCCATGACTACCCCACTTTAGTTGTTGATACCCCCAAATTTCTAAAAGTAAATTGACTAAGCAGAAAAGTGTTAGTCTTCCCTACAACCTAAGATATTTGCATTTTTCACCAATAGCTTTATCAAGAAATTTCTAACTATCCCTGTTTTCAGAGCCAATAACTTCTTTGAAGTATTACAATTGGAATATTAGTTTGAGGGAAGCAAGGATGACTTTGCACTCTTGACTATTTTGTTCCTGTGCTTTTAAAATATTTCCTACAGTCCTTTAATACATACACACCAACATGTGATTGCCTGGCCTCTTATTTGCCTTTGTATCCCTGTCACCTGTCACATAGTAGCCCTTAATGAACTTTGTTGAATGAAAGATCCTTAATGTACTCCCTTAAAGATATATAATACTTTGATTCTAATTGAGGTTTTAAAAGAAAAAAACAAAGATAATTTCTCCTCTAGCTGATGAAGCATTTTGGGTGATATTTTTAGGGAAAGGATTGTTATTTTTCCCTGAAAGTTTATTTGGCTCAGGTAAACTTGGGCGGGGGGGCTTTTTCATTTGCATTTTTATGAGGCAATCTTGTACAGTGCACTGACAAAGTAGATTGATGCTATAGTTACAAATTTGAAGGTTTTTGCTGGGTAAGGCTCTGTCCTTAGATATAAGATATATCCCAACACTACTGTACTTACCCTTCCTGAGGACCGATTATTGGTGTTCTCCTTCTCCAGCTTGAAATGGAAAAAGAAATTCCACCCAGTCAGTATAATCAGGAAATATAAATAATCAGAATGCCCAAACCCATGTTTGTATCTGAGATGTACATAAAAGGGACAAGTGATATACTTAGAATGTCATTTGTCTTATTAATGTGCCAGAGACTCAGAGGTAGTTTTTTTTTTCTTTTGAAGTTGTCAACCTGTTTTCTAACTATTATACCACTAAGTCTTCCTCCTTGAGCAACAAAAATGTCAAATGGGAGAAAAATCATGGTGACATTTTAGTCAAACTCAGTATCGCCTCACTTTAAAATCTATGGGACAAATGAGCCACCAGTGGCAGAGGAGACGGCATGCTTGCAGTTAATGAGCATGTCAAAAACCACTTTAGCAAAGAGCCAGAGCCTAAGCCTTGCCCCCCGCCTCAGCATGCTGTTAATTGGGGGGAAAATTGAAAGGGAAGTGATCCTTAATTTTGCCTTAGTTCAGGGTTCTAGTACATGGGCTAAGTGTCCACGTCTCTGCTGTGTGACAGATATGGAGAGGGACGCAAAGTACTGTTTGCAAATAGGGTCCCCTGCATGGTTATTACCCCTAATCTTTTGTCATGAGTGTGAAATTATTCCTACTCAAAGAAAAGATACGGAGTCACCTTAATTCCAAAGACTGAGACTTTATTAGTATGGGAGTCACATTCTTGCTATAAAGCTGTACCTTGGCTTGCATAGTTCCAGGGTTTTATCTGTGAATGGTTAACTGAAACTCTTGCCATCAGTGCTTCCAGCAGAGAGAAGGTGGCCGAGTTGGGGCGCTGCTGGAGCCCCCACTGTACCTCTCCTGTCCCGACCCTCTCTCTGTTGAGGGACTGGCCAGGTTTGACTCACTCCTCCTTCCACACCCCCACTCCCATGCCCTCTTTCTTTTCTTTCCAAAAGCTCGCAGCTCCAGCGTGGGGCTCTAAAGAGAGAAGAAATCTGCAGGGGGGTCTTCCTTGGCTCCCTGCCCTCTTGAGCCCCAAGCCAGGGGAAAAGAGTGAGGAGCCCGAGGTAGCCCAGGCTTTCCCTTCTTCTGCAGACGTACCTGGAAGTGTGGGTGCGGTCTGGGGAGCCTTGTCCCCTCTTCCCCGGAGCCGGCCACCACCGGCAGGCGGCAGCCCCTCTTTCGGTGCCTGCCGCCTAGACTCTGCCGGCCCGCTCTGGGCAGAGCCTCTGCAGTGCAGCGCCAGCTCTGGCCGCACTGTTGACTGGAAACCGGCCGGCCCTATTTAAAGGGACCTAGGCACTGGGGACTCGCTCCGTTGGTAGATTGCTGCCTGTCCGGCTGTCAGAGCCTGGCCAGAGCACTGAGCATGCCCGGAGGGGCGGACACCCAGTGGCTTCTGCCTGGCAAGAAACAGGATCTCTCCTGGAGGGAGTTGGGTCCAAATGGGAGGGGGTGAGAAAACACCAAGCCATCTCCACCCACAATGGGGTCTGGGTGACTCATAAAGTCACCTGGACACTGACTGTAAAACGGTGCAGAGGGAGTGGCATGGGGTTAATCCCTGGGCTTCTTGTCATAACAGGACATACTGTAGGTTTGCTCTGGAAGGTCACCTGGATTTGGTTCAGGGTAGACATTCCCCACCTCTCCACCCCGACATGAATCTATGCAAGTCAACACAAGGTTTAGCCAGTATTTCTGCCTGGAGCCAAGGTGTTAAGAACCTTCAATTAGAAAAAAAACACTGTCCCCGGCTGTTCCCCTGTGGGTGATGGCTTATATCTCAGTCCATAGTCTCCTCGCCTGTTACTCAAGAATTTCTTTAAATCACTCTGATGCCTATTTGAATGTAGAACTTACTGAGGACAACTGGTTCTACACTAAGAGCAGTGTAGACTTGTTTCCTTTTATTGGTGTCCCAAACACTTTCTATGCTGCAAAGCTTGCTTGCAACTTCCAGGATTTGGTTGAGTAACAAGTTCACATATTTTATTATATTGTGGGTTTCAATCCTGATGTTTTGTTGAACAAATAAATGATCTCAGACTTTCGATTAGTGTATTTGCCCAATCCAGATTCTTTAGTCATCACAATGGACCTGGTCAAGGCTCTGACCTGTAACAGATTCAGACAGTGGTATCTGAAATAGCAAGCAAAAAAAATCAGTAGGAAAGCTAGTATTTTTCAGGAAGCATGAAAATGAAAGAAAATATTGGCTCTGGGATGTCAAGTAAAAGGAGCTTTAAGCACATTTAAAAAGTGACAATCTAATTTATCAAGATCTAACAAGGGAGTGGCTTAGGAACAATACTGGGATACATTTTAAACTTCTTGGGAACCGGATATAACAGGTATTTGGGAGCTGGCATGGTTGCACTGTGTGCCCTGAGGCCTCCTTCTCAGTCTCTCCTTTCCTCCTCAGAGAACCAAAGTCAACAAGGGCTGAAGGGAGGAAGAGTCCTAATGTCAAGCCATGTTTTATTATGGATCCTGTCAGAATTAGTTTGTGAGATTCTGACAAAACTTTCCTTGATATTAAATCTCCAAATTGTTCTGTGTTTATCACTTGTCTTAATTATCTCAATTTTTGAACAAGGTAATAAAAGTCCCTTATTGATATTTGAAGGAATCTTTCTTAATTGCTCCATGCCTCAGTTTCCTTATTCCAAAATAGAAACAATTGTATCTTACTCATAAGAGTGTTGTGAGGATGAAGTTAAAGTTTAAACATTTTCAGAAGAGTAACTGACACAGTAAATTCTATGTACATTTTTCTATTATTAATATCTTACCCTATAAATCCATTACTCCCCAAAATTATTAATAAAAACATATGTGATAATTCAAGATACAATCTGAAAAAGTGTCTGAAATTTCAAGACTCCGAATTCCAAATCTTTATATCTGGTAGAGTCCCAGACTCCTAGTACACAATCCCACCCTCGTCCCATGTTGATGAAAAAAAGGCACAGAAGATTACCTTGGCATTGCTACAGTTCTATTAACTGCAGTGGGTCACTCCTTCATATGCTTCAAGAACCAAGTGGCAGAGAATCAACGACGAGGACAGAGTTTTATTATTCAAAGTTACCACAGACTTGGAACAATGTGAAAGTCAGAAAACCCTTTATTCTCCTCTGGGAACTTTAATCAATATTAAGGCAACAAGACACTAGATAATAATAGAATCACGCAGTTATACAATGGAGCCTGATTTTCTCCTTTTATCATATGTAGGAGATTAAGGCCCAGAAGAGTAAGGTGATTTACTCTTTGATCACATAGCCAAACAGGCTTATTGTGATTCCTTGGCATATGATCCTAGTTTAAATAACCTCAAACCTGGGATAGTTAAAGCAATGAAAAAAAAATACACTTTTAGGCATATATTATATGTGGGTAAAATCTGCATACAGTTAATAAGAGCTAACACGTATCACACCCCACATCTTATTGTCAGCTGTGTCTTCACGATGTATCTAGAATTTGACAGCAGCTCACCATCTCTGCCATTACCACACTGGTTTTAAACCTCCTCATCCATTGACTGGACCTCCTAGCTGCTTCCTTATCTGCTCTGTATTTATGTCCCACGACACCTGTAACAAAGTATCACAAACTGGGAATCTTAAAACAACAGATATTTATTCTTTCATAGTTCTGAAGGCTTAGAAATCTAAACTCAAGGTCATCTGGATTTGGTTGCTTCTGGAGGCTGAGAAATAATGCGACTCTCCTAGCTTCTGTTGGCTACCAGCAGTCCTTGGCCTTCTATAGCCTTCAGATGTATTACTCCAGTGTCTGCTTCCCTCTGTGTCTTTATCTTCACATGGCTGTCCTCCCTCTCTGTACGTCTGTGTGCCTTAATTCCTCTCCTCTCATGAGAGGATCTGTTGTTGGATTAGAATCCCATCCTAACAAAATATGGCCTCATCTTAATTTGATTAAATCTGTTGAGACCCAGTCTCTAAATAAGGTCACATTCATAGATACTGGGATTGAGGATCTGAACATATCTTTGGGGAAAATACAATTCAACCCACAACACCTGCCCATTGCCATTTGTATGAAAGGATCTATGATTTGTTCACTGATATATCCTAAGCACCAAGACAGTGCTTGGCACATGGTAGGCATTGAAGAGATATTTGTTCAGTGGATGAACAAATATTTGACCATTAGTATCAATGAGAACCTAGATCCAGGTATCTTTTGTTCTGACATTTATATTTTCCAACAGCAGGCCATCAGCAGTGACACTTTTTAAGCTGCTGATGTCATATTTTGCTAAAGTTTAGCTTAATGATGTTTGTGCATTGCATCACACAGACTCTGGAAACTATCTGGGTTCAAACACCAGCTCTCCTACTTAACTGTTCTATGTCCTTGAACAGATTGTTTAACTTCCCTGTATTCCAGGTTCTTTGTTGGTAAACTGGGAATAATTTTAATATGTATTTCTCAGAGTGGCTATGAAAATAAATTAGTGAATACATGTAAAGCAATTAGAACAGTGCTTAATAGGAAATGCTTAATAGATCTTAGCAATTAGTAGTAGTAGTCTTGTGCAAGTAACAAATTTTGATCCAGTCTTGCCTATAATATGGAAGTTGTCAGGCAGGCAAAATTTGTCCTTGGTGTTAAAAGTCAAAATAATGGTCGGAGGTGGTAATGACTGGAAAGGAGAATAAGGCAGGCTTTCTGATGTTTTGGTAATGTTCAATTTCTTGCTCTTGGCAGTGGTTACATGTGCATTTAGTTTATGGAAAATCATGGAAATGTACACTGAATACTTGTACATTTTTTTCTGTTTAGGTGCCTCAAAATTTTACTTTATTTAAAAACAACTCAATTCATTATCATATCACTTTCTCCTAGTTTCTCTTTCTTTTCTTAAATTTCCCCAAACTTCTATACATTCAGGTAACATTTCCATAGCACTTCAATATGCCTGTCCTTGGACTAGAACAAGAAGTATTGGGGTAGACAAATGTATTAAATGCAATGAAGGGATTGTGATGGAAAATGATGGGAGTACATTTGCATGCTACTTAACATTTCAGTCAACAATGGACCACCTATACAAGGCTACACCACACAGCTCAGGTGTGTAGTAGTTTATACCACCACAGTTGTGTATGTACGTTCTCCAATGCTCACACAATAATGTGATAACCTAATGATGCATTTCTTTAAATGTATATCAGCTGTCATTGAGTGACATATGAATGTATTCACAGATAGGAAAGGGATTTGAGTCAAGGAAGTCTCAGATTCCTTGGAAGATGACTATCTGATCTGGAGCCTAAAGAATGAATAGTTCTCCAGGCAGATAAGGAAGGTAAGAGAAGAAGGAATTGCCTATGCAAAGGAGAAGCATCAAAGAACATCACAGACTAGAAAACTTAAAATAATTCCAATTTATTGGAGTTTAAAGTACAAGGCATGGAGGTGGATAATGAGCAAGTGAGTAGCAGCCCACACAAAAAGGTACTACTTGTAAGCGAAATGATTTTAACTTAAAATATTAGTGGGCCAGGATATAGTACAGTGGTAGAGTGCTTGTGGGAGGCACTGGGTCTTAGTTACTTCTCTGTTGTCTTAGTTACCTCTTATCACTAAGACATAATACCTGACAACCACAATTTAAAGAAATAAAGGTTTGTTTGGCTCATAGTTTGTAGAGGTTTCAGTCCATAGTCGGCTGGCTCCGAGGCAGCGTGGAATGGCAGAGGGGCATCACAGAGGAGAAGCAGTTTGTGGTGTGATGGGTAAGGGGAAACAAGCTGTCTTCTTCTTTCCCTTTTTATTCCATAAAGGCTACAAGCCTATAGGTTGGTGCCCCCCACACCAAGAGTGGGTCTTTTGTCATCAGTAAGTCCATCACTCACACCCAGAACTATCCTAAACCAGGCAGTGGACTGATCCAGTATCACATACTGCAGATCCAGTCACTCCCCAAAGCCCTACATATTAGTACATGAGGCTCCAGGGAGACATCTAGATATAAGCCACAGTACCAGTACTGCAAAAAAAAAAAAAAAGAGAGAGAAAAAAATGCATTCTTTCAGTTGATTCATCTTATAAAATTTTTGAGTTTGATTCAGGATGTATTTATACATTTATCTATAATATGTCAGGAAGTGTGCTGAGTAGTAAGCATTTAAAAATTGTAACAAACTTCAAGCACAAGGTTTATGAAGAAAACATCAAAGCACATGATGCTCATTGTGGTTTGCACCTTATAAACTTTCACTCTTTAACTTACAGGTGTTAGGTATTTTGTCCCAACAACAAGAGAGTGAGTGACTAAGACAATGCTCAAAAGGCTCAAAAC